GCCGGGCGGGCGCGCGGCGGAGTCGGCCTGGGTCCCCGCTCGGCCTCTGCGGTGGAGGAGAACGGGGGGGATGGGGCTTTGGCCTGTGCGAAGACCTCCTGGGGCCAGGTCCGTCCCCCGCCTCGCGGGCGTGCAGCAGGTCCCGGTGTGGGGGTGCGCGTGTGGGGAGCTTTTGTGGGGAACGCAGCCCAGGTGCCGCCCCTCCCTGGACCCTTCTTTCCTCCAGGCCCCGGGACTCCAGCTAAAACTAATCACCAATTAAGGCGAAGTCCGGGAGCCCGGGCTGGCGAGGGGCCAGGGGTGGGGCGGCGGGACACTCCGCCTGCGGGGGCTCGGGACCCGCTGAAGTGGGGGCGCACCTCGGACTAGACGGCGAAGAGCAGCGTGGAGGTTTGTGCGGTTAAATGGGTCTCATGCAAATTTGATGCGAACCTCTATGCTAATGGGAAGAATATTTTTGAAATCGCCACTTTGCGCAGGACGGCCAACTGAGCCCCACCCCACCCCAGCTTCTTACCGGGCAGCGGAGCCCAGGCGAGGACCTCATGATCGCGCTCCCCTCTCTGATCCCCCTCGGAACAGCTGCTCTCTGCTTCAGTACACCCCGACCCTAGGGGGGTTCTCTTCGGGGTCTGCGGGGACAGAGTGACTGTAAGGAACGCTCCCTCCTAAGCAGCCCCGATCTCCCCTTCCCCTTCTTCCTATCAAAATCCACACTGTCATGAAAAGGTCTCCCGGAACCAGCTCCGGCCTCGTAATTGAACTGTAAAAGCCCAGGGACCGCCCCGAGGAACGCTTGTTAGTGGGTAAATTGAGTTGTGGGGTGCAGCCCTGCTGAAGGCCCCTAAAGACCCCCGACCCCACGGCTGCCCCCCCTTCTTACCCCCTCCTGCCCAGGTACGGCGCATGCGCGCAGCATGCCCCCCATGACCCCCAGTATCCGGTCAGTGCGGCCAGGGGCGGGGCGGTCCGGGGGCTTCATGCTGGACCCCTACCCTGCTCCAAGTTTCAGGGTGGAGGGGGCTCGGAAGTTGGGGGGCTCTGAGGCCTGCGCGCGTCCGGGGAGTTGCTGCTGCTGAATCCGCCCCCTGCCCGGCTCCGCCTCCACTCCCACTCCTGCCAAACTTCGATGAAGGGGTAGGGTTGTTCCCTTCTCTACAACCATCCGACCAACCATCGTTCCACCACAAACAAACCCCTCTTAATCCCGATCTCAACGTCGGAGCATGGCTCAGCGCTTCGCAATGTTATTACAGAGTCCACTACTCACACCCTGCTTCCCTGGGTCCTCAAGAGCAGGAAAACGGGATCCCCACTTCCCCCTTCTCAGCAGGGCCTGCTTCCCACCCCACCCCCTCCCTATCCACGGAACAGAATGGGCGTGGCATAGAGAGTTGCATATTTTACTTTATTTTTATTAAATTAAAAGCTACGGTCTGGCAGCGATTCCAGAACAGAGTAAGGAGAGCTCCTTATAGGGGGCAGAGAAGAGCGAGAAAGACAGAGACCGACAGACTGAGACACAGGAGAGAAAGGACAGGTTAAGGTAGGAGAACTGTGTCTTACGGACACACCGCGGGCTGGCTCCCGGGAGAGGGGGTGGCACGGCAGTCCACAGTGGAGCAGTATGTGGGGCTGGGGGTTCAAGAGACCCGATCCTGCCCCCCCAGGTCCGTTCTCAGCTTAGTCACTGGAGCACAGCACATAAAGCCAAGGGCAGAGGAGGGGCAGGGCCACTGGGAGTATGTACAGGGGAGCAGGGAGCAGAGCTTGGAGACCAGCCTCTGTCAGAAGGGAGTGGCTCACAGGGCACTGAAGCACTGGCCAGCAGGGGCGGGGAGGGGTTCCCCTTCCCCTCTGAACTCCCTCCCTGTCAGACAGGTCCCCTACTTGTGTGGTGTGCGGGCAGGGGAAGAGAGGAGAACAGAGGCTTCCATTAGGTCCTAGTAGAGGAGGACAGCAAGGAGGCCAAAGGGATGTCCTTCAATCATCTGTGATACCCTTGGCTCTCAGCTCCTCTTGCACACGGGTCAGGTAAGTGGGGTCCGGGTACCCAAACCTGGGTGCAAAGAGAAGTGAGGGTCAGGGTTAGCTGTTTAGGCTCGCTCTTACCATCCCATGCCCACCCTCATTCTGGGTGATTCTCTACAGGCCCCATTCAGATCCCTTCCCACCTCCCCTTAAACTGATTCCCTCCAAAGCTGAGGCTGACTGTATCTTTCTAGGGTAAGTTAGGCACATCCCGCTCGGGAGGTGGGACGGAAGCGGGGGCTGAAGGCTTTGGGGTAGTCCTCTCCCGTTAGGAAGCTCCCACAGGGAGAGGGTGGATGTCGTTCCCTCCGGGGAAATGAAGAGAAAAGGGGGGCCAAGGGGAGGCAAATGAAGAGGAATCGCACAGCTGGGGTCCCCCTGTGCAGCTGGTCTTGTGGTGGATGTCGTTCCAGGTGATGACATTCGGTCTCCCTGTGGTCATGGACGTGCCGATAGTGAAGGTGAGACGCTGGTCAAATGCCTTTCGGAACAGGGTCAGCACCTTGTTGCCCTCGGGGCAGTCCGGGAGGTAGGCCACCCGTGTGGTGCCAGGGTACCGAACTCCTGGGTTTGGGTGTTCAGCCTGGGAAGAAGGGGAAGCAGCAGGGGAAGTGAGCAGCTGGACATCCTAAGGCCCGGACGCCAGTGGAGGGTCATCCCAGCCCGTGTGCCTGTGCACCCCGGCTGATCCTGACAGGGGAGCAACAAACAGGCTGCCAGCCTTCCAGGAAAGGAGGCAGCAGGAGCCTGTTTCTGAACATAATCCTTATTGTTAAGAGGTTCTTTCAGCTGTCACAATTCCTCAAGCCGGAATTCAGTAACAAATGTACTCTGAGAAGTGACGCAAGGTATGGTCCTTACTCTGCAGAACTTTTTTTTTTTTTGTCTTTTTGAGGCAGGGTCTCGCTCTGCAGTTCAGGCTGGACTTGAACTCACTTTGTAGCCCAGGCTGGTCTCGAACTCACAACGATCCTCCTGCCTCAGCCTCCCGAGTGCTAGGATTACAGGCGTGTGCCACCATGCCCGGCCCTGCAGAACTGTTAAGACTAAAAAAAATTTATCTTTTAGTCTTCCCTCCTCTACCTCAAAATACTCCTAGCCAGGCATGGTGGTGCACACCTGTAATCCCAGCACTCGGGAGGCTGAGGCAGGAGGATCCTTTCGAGTTCGAGACCAGCCTGGGCTACAAAGTGAGCTCAAGGCCAGCCTGAACTGCATAGCAAGACCCGCTCTCAAAAAGACAAAACAAACAAACAAAAAACACTCCTAATGCTTCTGCCACTGCTCAACCTGTTCCATTCTTTCTATTTCTCTTCTTTGGATATTCCTCATTCCTCTGTGAACCAGCATTGGATGTTTCTCTTTGTCCAGCAGGAAGACACCTATAGGTCCTGGACCATTTCTGCTTTTACCTTCCAGTCTCTTCAAGCTTTCACTGTCTCACGTAGAGCAGAGTGACACTTTCGGCTCTGTAAGTATGGGCAGATCACTTCCTGGTGTTCCTCTCTGCCCTGGGGCCATCAGTCCACAGAATTTACCTTTGCTAAGAATACTTGTCAATATCCATGTTCACCAGAGAAACAGTATGCAATTCTTTTCTCTCATACCTGAGTTTGTTTTTTTGCAGTGTTAGGGATCGAACCCCGCACCTCCCACATGCTAGGCACACACTCTACTACTGAGCTGCACCCAGCCTTCATACTTGATTATTCTGTGCGCCTGGAACCACCAGGATGGAAAAACCGGGGCTCAAGGCAGTGTCCTAGCCTCAAGTTACTGAGTACGATGGCAACTGGAGACAGCAAGGCTGTCACATCTAACGCACTCAGCCTGACCCCATTGTCCTGGGCCGGAGAGCAAGCTTGGGAAAAATCAAACGGTAAGGGGAGGCCGTGGTTTTCTTACCCCCTGGACACCCGGCGGGAAGACGTACTGGATGACAATGGTGCCGTACTTCTCGTAGCTGGGCAGGAGGAGGGTGGCGTCCTTGGAGACCAGCATCCGTCCATTCTGGGGCTGGTTGCCCACCAGCTGCCCATAGAAGCGGCCGCACATGGGGCAGGCCTTCTTCACCTGTAGGGCCCGGGTGATGCAGCCCTCACAGAACGAGTGCCGGCACTTCTCCAACGTCTTGGCGTTCTGGATCTCCCCCAGACAGATGGGGCAGGTGCTCTCCTGCTCTTCGGCCTCCTCTCGAAGGCGGGGAGGCAGAGGAGGGGGCAGGGGAGGAGGAGGTGGAGGAAGCCCCCGGGCCCCTGGGGGCAGGATGGGGGCTGCTCGGAGAGGGGGTGGCCCTGGGCGGTGCAGCTCAGGGTGTTCCCCGCCACCCCCCAAAGCCAGGCAGCCCATAAGCTCCCCCTGCCTCTGAGCTTTTTTCAGCTCTTTCTCGGCCTCCTTCAGCAGGCCCTTGAGAGCCTTGCGGGCCAGGTAGAGCCCGTTGGGCGGGGCCGGGGGAGGGCCCTGTGGGGAAAGCTGGAGAACGTAGATGTCAGAGGTCTCGCCATCTATGAGGATGGACACCCGGTGCTCCTCCCGAAGCCGGGCCAGCCGGGCTGGGGTCTCCTTGCTCAGGAAGTCCCACACAGGCTTGGAGACAGTCACTTTGTTCTTGCAGGTGCCTCCACAGGCTGCCATTCTGGACAGGACGAACGACACTGCCCCCAGGGTGAAGGGGACTCAGGGTAGGGGGGGTCCCCATTTGAAACAAACAAGTGCCTCCTCGCTCAGGTTCCTTCCAAACTCCGCCACCTCTGTTTTCCCAAAGCCCAACCCCAATCGGTCCACCAAACTAAATTTCCATCTTTCCCTGTCTCCCACACCCCAGCACCCCCGGGGAGCAAGGAAGTGTCCCCCCCCCCCCGCCACTCTCTTGTTACTGTCAGCCTTGGCTTTCCTTCCACTGCTGGGGGACCAAAGACACAGCCTGCCCCTCCCATCCTGGGCGAGAAAGGGCTTGGTCAAGGGGAGGGGGCCCGGGGCCCTCCTGTGTGCTCACTTTGATCCTGGAGAGCTCAGAATTGGCATGCAGGCTCACTCTCTTTCCCTGCTCCCTACTTGTAGGCTGTGTGACCTGGTGGGGTGAGGAGGGAAAGGTCAGAGAGTGAGACACCCCTTCCCTACTGCCCACCAGCCTGAACCCCGCAGCCCGCGTGACAGGCAGGAACCTGGGGACAGGTTACTTGGAGCACTGGAGGACCCCAGTGGAAGGGCCGAGGTTCTCTTCAGAGACAGGTACCTGGAAAGCCCATGGAAGAGGACAGCAGCAGAAGTCCCTCTATTTCCTCACTGGGCTGACCAAGGCTGAAGGGGAGAGGAAAGGATTAGGATGGCAAAGCTCCTATTTGCTAGTCCTTCCCCCCTGTGGCATCTCTTCCCCAGCTCCACTTTGCCCAAGTTGTTAAACTCCAAGCAGCTAACCTTCCTCTTTCCTTCCCCAGCTCGAAGGCTCTCAAGAGAGACTGAGGTGCAGACAGAAAACGCCCGCACAGGCGGAGGTCGTTCCTGCCACCTCCCTCCGGTCCCACGGACTGGGGTATTTCTGATGCTCCCCAACTCTCAAGTAATTTGGCCCCTTTTGTTGAAGGGGAGCCTTCCGTAAGAGCAGTCCCTCTGCTGAAGTCTGTCAGGGAGGTCAGCAAAGGGGCAGCAGCCCCTGCAGTCGCAAAGTTCGCATTGTCACCTTTTAAACCCCTGTCGTCTGCAGGTGGACGGGGCAGGGCTCTGCAGGGGCGCCCCTGGAGGGGCCTGACGCTTGGCCCGTCCCGGCACAGCTGCAGGGCTGTCCCCACGACACCTCCACTACGGCTCAATCCGAAGGAGGGAGCACTAGTGTGACCTCAATTTACTGACGGATACAAAGGGGGAGCTCCGTCCATTTGCGCCTCTGTCACAGCACTCTCAAGAAGAGATGCGCCTCAAGATTCGCAAAGTGCAGCGGGAACCCCAAGTCTCAGCCCAGACTGTCCGTGCACGGCGTAACGACCCTCCCCACCAGAGGGGACCCAGGACCTGAGCTCCGACTCCTGCTGGCACAGGGAAGGGAGGCGGGGCCACCACTGAGGCTGGGTCCGCGACTCCTCTGGGGCCACCCAGACCGGGCGCAGGGCCGGTCCCTCCTCCAGACGGCGGCCGAGGGGACAGCCCGGGAGGGCCGGGGTCCCGGGGCGCCCGCCCCTCCCCCCGCGGCCTGCTCCGAGGCCGACCCGGAACCAGCTCTCCGCGTCCCCCGCTCGCGGAAGCCCCCGAGCCCCAGCGCCGGCGGGGGGTGCGCGGCCACCCGCCCGCGGCCCCGCAACCCCCAAATGGAGGCCGAGGCTGGAGGGTGCTGCAAAGATGCTCCGCCCGCCCCGAGGGGGGCCCTGGCGCCGCGCGCGGGGGAGGGGGCGGCGGAGGGGGCGCGCAGGGAGCGAGGGGCTCGCGAGGGGTGCGCGCGGGGTCCGGGGGACACGCGGTGGGTGTGGGGGGCGCCGGGCTCACCTACCTCTCGCCAGCGCCGCCATTGCCGGTCACATGACTGAGGCTGTTCTGGGATGACGGTCCGGGCCTTAGCAACAAGGGGGGGGACCTGGAGAAGGTGGAAGGGGGTGCAGGCCGGGGGGAGGGGAGGAGGGGGACGGCACCCCCTTTTCTTTCCCGGGCGATGATCACTGCTTCCTTTGACCCCTTCTACCCGGGAGCCCCTGCCCGTCCGCCCCAAAACAAAAATGGAGGCACGGCCCCCGTCTTTGGAGGGAGGGGGCGGCGTCAAGTGGCCGAGGGTAGGAGGTTATATCCCTTAGAGACGCCACCCTCGCGCCCGCCCCTCCCGAGAGCCCTCTTCTCTCGCAGCCCGCTGCGGCGGCTTCGGGAGCTGGCGGCGGATGGGCGGGCGAGCGGCGTCGGGGGTCTGCGGGGATTTGGGGAGGACAATTTTTAGAAATCCTTTAGCAGAAAGGTCTTTGAGGAACAATGTGGGATGGGAGATCTCAGGCAAAAGACAAGCATCGGTGCCACAAAATAACCCCATGACTACGCTGCTCCAACCCCCTCCCTCGGCTCTCTCCTCTTTCTAGATTGTTACCTTCTGTGACCCTCGCACCCTGCCCCTAGGTGGGTAAGCGCCTGTTTTTTTCTCTTTCCACAAACAGGGACCCTAAGACTTGTGCAGAATGGGAAGGAGGGAATAGGTTTTCTTTCTTTTTTTTTTTTTAATAAACGGCTTGGGGTGGTTGTGGTGTCAAATGGATGGTTCAAATAAGAGTTAAAAATTCTCAAAGAAAAAAAAAAATCTGCTCCGCTCCGCTTCTCACATCAGCAGTCTCCGCCCCCAGGCCAGCTCACTTCCCTGGGGCCACATCAAGCCAGGTTTTTCCACTAGCCGAAAAAACCCCCTCAGCCAGACACGCCGAAATCTCCCAGACTGGCCACCAATGCTAGTCGTCCACCCCTTTTTTCACTCCCTCCGGAGAGCTGGTCACTCTTTTTCCCAGGACCTTAATGTACGCTTCCTGTTCTCCAAGCAGCAGGGCGCCTTCCCTGGAGGCCTGGGAGAACACTGAATTCCTTTTGGTTCAGCCCGTAGGCTGGGGCCCACTCACCTCGAGAGAGGGAGAGTGATCACGCCGGGAGCTCTGGGATGAAGGCCACACCATTCCACTCCTCCCCCGGCCTCGCTGCCGCGGTTCCCACAAAGCCGACCAGCCTTTCCCATTCCCAGTCCACCCCTCACCGCCTCAGTTCACAGCCATCTTAGAATCCCACATCTTTAGAATTCTTCGGCTGGTCTCTGTACCCCTCAGGAGTCCTCAGAATTTAAAAAATAAAAGTTGTGAGAAAGCATTTCTGTGAAGGAATTTGGATTGAATAATTTATTATCTGTATTGTGATAGTAATGGGAGCAAATACACAAGATCTTCTATTACTAAAACAAAAAAGGTGAGAAACAGAAGCAACAAATGATGATTATACCGCCTGTATCAGCCGTACAGTCAGAAAACCCTGTTCTAAAAAGCCGCAGCTGCTGGTGTCAGTTTTATTGCATTCAACAGGGGAAGAAAGGTAGAGGGGAATGGAAAAGACCCTGCAGGAGCAGGACAGGAAGGTATGACTGGGGCTCCAACCCCACACTAGAGAGCCCTCTCACTACCTCCTTTGGAGCAGAAGGTGAAACGGAGGCAGCTTCTCCCTTAGGACCGCATGCCTTCTTGGGAGACTCGGTCCAGCCAGACACAGAGCAAGACTCGGTCCAGCCAGACACAGAGCAAAACAGCTCCGCATCCCCACAGGCCAGGTGCGGGCGCTTGTGTTTATGTGAAAAAAGTGTGGATGCTTCCAGGGGACATCAAGAATGAGCGTCTTAGCCCCAAAGGCAGCAGAGGGAGGGGAGGTCACCTATCTCATCTCGTCGTGGTCTTCTACATGCTGAGAGTATCACCACGAACTCCATCATTTTTGGAGGCGGATGGCTGACTGAGTTACGGCCCAGACTCCTCTCTGGGGGAGGAGAGTGAAGATGACACAGAAGGCCATCTGTCCCCCGGGAGACACAGTGGCAGTAGAGAACGGGACAGAAGAGAACAGAATGAAAACAAATCCAACTGGAAAAAGGGTGTGAGGAAGGCCAGGAGAAGCAAGTGTCCCAGCTGCACACACCCAGGAGGTTCCCACACTTGAGACCCCTTCCTGGTGAAATGACCAGAACTGACCCAGTAGAGATCGTCCCTTCTGGAAATAAAGCCCGAGGACAGCTAGCCAGGAAGGAAGCTTCACATGGAAATGGACTGCACACCCTGGCCCATCATTCCAGCCTCCAGAACCGGCCCCGCCCGCTGAAGAGTTCCAGCTGCGGGAAAGGCGTGAGCTTCTGGTTTACGCAGCAGTAGTCAAACACCTTCACCAGGCTCACACGCGTCTGGCCATGCCTGGGTGCTGCGCCCAGATGTGCACATGGGTGCAGATGCAGTGCGAGTGGGAGTGGGGTGGGAGAAGACTGGGGCGTAATCGCTCCTTGCCAGAGACCTCTTCCAGTTCCTGCGTAGTCACAGCAGTCCTCTTGGGTCCCGTCTCTCCGTGAGGTGCCAGCCTGCTGACCACTCCCACCCCGCCTCCCACGCCGGGTCAGCCATGTTCTGCCGCGCGTGCATACTTGCACCCACATCGGTCCTATCTCAGAAGTCTTCCATCCCAGGGCCGACCGGGATGAAGCACACTAGTGAGTTCTATAAAGTTATCAGCACATTCAGACACTCGTGGTCTACTCCACACAGCAAAGTGCATCAAGCAGTTTCTTGAGCCAGGTCCATCTGTCCAGGCAGGTCTAGAAGATGACAACCGCCCCTCCCCCAAGCCTCCTAAGTGACAGAAACAACAGGGTATTTTACAAAGATCAAGGCACTTGTGAGCGTCCACAGTAACACTCGCATGAAGCAGGAGGGCTTGTTGGAGGGAGGGAGAGAAGAAAAATGGACAGATGGGGAAAAGGGCAATGTATTTCTGGGGGCCAAGAAATGCCTATTCAACGACACGGAGCGATTTGGATGGAAGGCGCCTGAATTCAGCGGAGGAGGAAGAGAAGCAGGGGCAGGAACAGTCCCGCCACGCCTCTCAGAACCACGCCACCTTGAACGTGAAGCAGCAACCACCACGGAGTCAGACAGGCTCTTAGGCAAAGATGTTGGTGATGAAATCCAGGAATCGCTTAGCATACTGCTCGGGATGCACAGTGGAGATCTCGGCCCCCGCCTGTGAGAGCAGAACAAGCAATGTGTCAGGCACCTCCCCGCTCTCCCCAGCCCATCCTCCCGCCCGCTCCAGCCCGCTTCCCCGCCTCCGCCACCCCTCTGCGCCTCCCAGGACGCTCTCTGCTAAGAAAACAGCCACACGGCGAAGGGCAGGTGCCGGGGGACTCTCACCCCGTGCTTGACGGTCTTGGCTGCGTGAGCCGCTTTCTTCTTGGCGTCATACTGCGTGAGGATGTCGATGAGGCCCATGAAGTACACCTCCTTGTGGGGGGCCCCTGGAGAAAGACCAACAGTGCGCAGGCAGGCATGGCCCGAGCTCTCCTTCCCCGGGCGTCGGCTGTGTTTAGAAGAGCTAACCCAACTCTCCACTCACTGCCTGGCTCCTGTTCCCCAAGGACAACACTCCCCACTCCCCGCGCAGAACCCCAAGACCTCTCTCACCCTCAGCACTCCGGATGGCGTAGACGTCGATGTAGGACTCGAACTCTCCGGGTCCCAGCGGTCGATGCGAATGAATGTAGCCTCCGATCCCCTCCGGGGAGGTGCCGTAGGAGCCCACCAGAGCAGGCGGTGCCGTGGGGTTGCAGTCCCCGTCCCACTCCGACTCCTCCTCGCGCGCGGGCCCCTCCTCCTCGGGCTCAGAGCCCCGGATGATGTCGTGAATGCCCAGCAGGAGGCTGTAGTCCATGATCTTCAGCTGCACCAGAAACTGAGACCCCCCGACAGATCAGACAAGCCCGGTCTCCCCGCCACCGCCAGGTGACAGCTCTGTATGCCTACCCTGGGATTCCTGGGCCCCTCCTGGGGAAGGTAAGCAGAGAAACAGACTGGGGTCTACCACTGCCTTTGAGTGCCCGGGAGTCCTAGGGTCTGTGGTTACCTCTTTATTCATTCCAGCCTCCACGGGTTTTTCTGATCTCAAACTCAATCACTAAATACAGAGGACCCAAAGAATAAGAGGGGAGGCACTTTCCTATGATGAGTGAACTGCTGAAACAAGCCAAAAAAAAAAAAAAGCACTCCTGAGCATCCCAGTCATCACCTCCACGTCTCTCTTTAGCTTCTCCAGAAACGCTCTCTTCTCCTCCTCACCAATGTACACTTTCTGGTTCTTGTTGAGGAAGTCCATATCCTTAAGGGTGGGCAATTCTTTAACCTAGAACAGGGAAAGGCTGTCTTGGGGCTGCGCCGCCTCCCTGAGGGGTGAACAGCGCCGCCTCTGCGCACGGCTTTCTCTCCACCTCGGCGGCCTTGAGGACAGCAGTTTCACACTGCTTCTGTCCAGTGAATCCAGACTGTGAGCCCGGCGTGGTGGCGCACGCCTGTAATCCCAGCACTCGGGAGGCTGAGGCGGGAGGATCGCTGCAAGCTTGAGCCAGCCTGGGCAACATAATGAGTTCCAGGCTATCCTGAACTGCAAATAGGGAGACCCTTGTCTCAAAAAACAAGGAAAACACAACGACAACAAAACCTAAACCCAAATGCCTGATTGGGAGATGCAGTCGCTAAGCTGTACTACCCCACAGCACACCATATGCCACCCTGTTTTCTGTGGGGTGCACAGTGCGGGAGATTGTACTCAGGCTCCTGCACACGCCAGGCAAGCACTCTACCACGGAGCGACACCTCCAGCCTGCAGCCCCCCTTGTTCTGCTTATGCTGTTCAATGAAACCCTCCATGCTGATCTCTCTCTCTTCCTCAGCAAAAGTATCTGCTTCAGTACAAGACCCAGAGCGAGAGCTGGCGGGTGTACATTTTGCCCTTGAAGTCTGGTATCTCCACGCGATCCCAACCCACACAAAACACCCCTGCCAGGGGCAAGGCAGCTGCTACTACTGCCGCTGCACACCGCAGGTCAGTAGAAGTTCGCATCCCTCTTCTTGTCAGTGGCTGGAGAATAAATAGCTGATGATCCTCCTATGAAGAATGCCTCCCTCATCCTAAGAAGACCCCTGTCAGCCCCAGCTCCATCCCTCACCCTGACACTTTAAATGAGGGTCACCTTTTCCTTATCGCTGGCTTCCCGGGACACTAGGGAACCCTGTGGAGAGACCCAAACACCAAGTCAGCAGAAGTGGTCAAAAGCACAGAACCCAGCTCCTAAGAGGAGTACTCAGGTCCATACCCTCCCCAGCCTCCGGCCACCAGGATCCTCCCCTCTGACCCTGAGATCTCTTCTCCTCACCTTCAGGTCATACTTCCTGTGCACAGGAAGTCGGTGGCTAAACATATTGCGCATCACAAGCATGTAGCTGTCTTCATTCTCCACGCTGACCCGGTACATCCCCAGGAACTGGGGCAGCAGTGTGCTACCATGGCACTTCACAATGTACTGGGGTGGGAAGGGAGAAAGGCGTAAGGAGGCTGAGAAGCAGACACACACACTGCCCAGCGGTGGGAAGCCGAACGCTACCGTTTCCGAGGAGGGGCAGAAAACTTCAAGTAGAGAGCCGGGTATGGCGGCATACACATATGATCTCAGCAGTCTGCAGGCTGAGGCAGGAGGATCACCAGGAATTTGAGTGGAAAAAAAAACCCTTCAAGTAGAAAAGTTATAAGGAGATCAAAAAGGGTGGGAGGTTCCTAAAAATGTCCCTAGTTATCCATGTGGTTTCTGAATCCCCTTGCCTTCTGATTGCTTCCACTTGTATAGAGTGGAAGTGACTCCTCTCATTCCACCTCTGTCCTTGAGGTGAAAAGGGTAGGTGTTATTGTCCTTACTGTAGGACCTCTCTACATACAAGTGGTCATGAAACCAGAATTAGAACTTACGTCTGCTTAACAGTATGATTTACTTAGACCAGCATTTCTCAGTGGGCTAGATTCCTGTAGTCCGTATGGTGGCTGTTTGTAACACTTTGGCCTTCCTGCTGAGCCACATCCCTGGCCCTATTTATTTCTTATTTTGAGACAGAATCTGGCTAAGTTGCCTTGGCAGAACTCAAACTTGTGATCCTCCTGCCTCAGCCTCCTTCTGTGCTCAAATTACAGGCATGTACCATTATGGTCAATTTCGTAACCTAGATTCATAAAAGGCAACTCCTCAGCCAGGCATGGAGGCACGTGCCTGTAATCGCAGCAGGCTGAGGCAGCACAAGTTCTAACCCAGCCTGGGCAATTTAGCAAGAACCTGTCTCAAAATTTATTTATTTATTTATTTTTTGCCTTTTTGAGATGGGGCCTCATTATGTAATTCAGGCTGGCCTTGAGCTCAGTTTGTAGCCCAGGCTGGCCTTGAACTCACAATGATCCTCCTGCTTCAGTCTCCTAAGTTCTGGGACTACCAGCATGTGCCACCATGCCTGGCCTCTGTCTCAAAATTAAAAAACATTTTTTAAGGAGGGAAGGCTGGAGATATTGATAGGGCAAGAGAGATTCCACTTTCTGCTTTGAACTCCATAGTAAGAGAAGCCACTTAAAAGTTTACTTAATCTGTGGTTGACCCTCACTTTTCACCCCTTCGCCTTGGTTAGTTATCAACTCAAAGCACAGCA